CAGAGGTAGCTAGGGGCTGTGTGTGGGCAGCGGGTAGCTCAGGGGGCGGGAAGGGGTAGCTAGGGGCTGTGTGCAGGGAGGGGGTTAGCTCAGGGTGCAGGGAAGGGGTAGCTAGGAGCTGTGTGCGGGCAGGGGGTTAGCTCAAGGGGCAGGGAAGGGGTAGCTAGGGGCTGTGTGTGGGCAGGGCAGGGGGGTAGCTCAGGGTGCAGGGAAGGGGTAGCTCAGGGGAGAGGGAAGGGGTATCTAGGGGCTGTGTGCGGCCAGGGAGGTAGCTCAGGGGACACAGAAGGGGTAGCTAGAGGCTGTGTTCCAGGAGGGCTTCCCTACGGTCCCTGTTCCCTGAGGGCTCTGCTAGCCATGGAGCCATTCCCCCACCCTGCGGCTCTTACCGGCTGTGTGAAAAAATGGGGCTGGGAGCTGAGAAGTAGCTTCAACCCCCTGGCCCAGCAGGAGAGGAGAGAACACCACAGCTACCTCCTCCATGGCACCAGCTCCGCACTGTCTGGCTCCAGATTCCTGCCTCTGAACTTGCCAGGGGGCGGGGAGAGAAGGAGGTGTGGGGTATGTGGAGCTGCCCCTGGACTGCCCTGCACTTCCACTGCAGTTTAGAGGGGCAACATCTTTGATGCTCCCCAACTCTGCCCATGGGCTCAGGGGGCTTCTGCCCCATGGGGAGCACTGGGGATCCGGGATTCAGCCCTGCCGCTCCCAGCTTCAGCGGGGGGAGTGGGGAAGGGAGACACCAGGGATCAGGGCTTCAGACCCAGGGTGGGGGGCGGCGCCAGGGATCGGGGCTTGAGTCCAGTGGAGGGGCGCTGGTGATCAGGCCTTCAGCCCTACGGGTCCAGTTTCAGCCCTGGCGAGGAGGGGCGGGATTGGGGCTTCAGCCCTGCAGCTCCTACCTTCAGCCAGGGGGTCGCCAGGGCTTGGGCATTCCGCCCCACAGCTCCCGGCTTCAGCCAGGGGAGGAGGGCGGTGTCAGGGATCGGGGCTTCAGCCCGGGGCTCCCAGCTTCAGCCCCGCAGAGGGAGCCGGGGATTGGGTTTTCAGCCCCATGGGGGGCACTGGGGCTGAAGCTCTGGCTTTCAGCATTGGCACCCAGTCGCCCCCCTGAAAGGGCTTGTGGACCCCCCTTAAGAACCCCTGCTTTAGGTTTCACATGGGGAAGAGTGACACACACACCCTGCCACCTCCCCCCTGCCCCGGGCTGTCTCTCCTCCTACCTGACATCGCCTCTTCCCGTCTCTCCACCCGGCCTGAGACCACCACGTGCTCTCACTGACTGGCCACAACCTGCCCGCATTCACCCGCCAGCCACAAACAAGATGCAGCTGCGGCTGCACTGACCGACCAACAGGGGAGTGGAAAATACGGGACAATTTGCCCGTTTTTTAAAAAAAGTTGGGACACCTGCAAGAGGGTGTAAATACAGTACTGTCCCGTTAAAAACGGGACTGATGGTCACCCTATGAATGGAACTTTTTGCCAGGGATGTTGTGAAAGCCAAAATTATAACAGGGTTCAAAAAAGAACTAGACAAGTTCATAGAGGTTAGGTACATCAATGGCTATTAGCCAGGATGGACAGGGATGCAACACCATACTCTGAGTGTCCCTAGCCTCTGTTTGCTAGAAGCCAGGAGTGGACGATGGGGATGTATCACTCGCTGATTCCCTGTTCTGTTCATTCCCTTTGAAGCACCTGGCATTGGCCACTGTTGGAAGACAGGATACTGGGGTAGATGGACCATTGGTCTGACCCAATATGGCTGTTCTTACATAAAAATTAATTATAATAATAAAAAAGTTTAGTACAGAAACGTTTTCAGATAGCAACGATGTGAGATAATAACCTAGGCAAATAATGCACTGAAAAAATCTTGGCCTACTAGAGGTGCTGGGGCTCAGCCCTGGCAAGCCCTGGCACAAATTAAGCAGTGAGGGAGACCCCCCTCATTCAGACAGGCTAAGCACAGTTCTGCTGCCCTTTAGTCATATAATGAGGATAACAACATTCCATGACCCCCACATTGAGTACTAAAGTGATTTGTAACCCAACACCAGCCAAAATTGATCACTTGGGCAACACAGTTCTGGCTGCTGGCAGAGGAGGTGTGTTCATGTAAATACAGTCTGGTCCTGAAGCCTTTCCACCCATCCATGGCTCATCACTAGCAGTCAAGGGAGAGCTTATTCAGACCTTGTTTTCAAATCATAATTTGAAATTATTAGGATGGTCAATATAGTCGAAATAACAGCTGTGTGAGGAAGCTAGTCTTTGTTCATACGTTTCAAACCCATTATGTTTTCTCAGGTACAACTATTTTCTCATATACTGTATATGCTTTTAACATGTGTATTAATGTTTCAATTTTTAATTTCCAACCAATGACTAAATTGGCAACACTGCATGTAACTGGTTAACCACTGGGGGGGGGGGGCTGGGGAAATTCAGGGGTGTGTGTAGGGAAATACCTGGAGCACACCCAGCTGCAAAGTCTCGAGGTGACAGAGGTGTGGCTAATTGGGGTGAGGTCAGCACCCAGCAGAAAAGATTATTCCCTTCTCATGCCAAGGGGAAGGGAAAGCATCAGTCTTGGCTACAGCTGTTGACCTGTGTGACCAAAACCCTATGGCACTCTCTAAACTATGCTCCTTGGTGCTAAATAGTAAGGCATGAGCACTGTATCAGCAAAGAGGCTAATCTACTCTCTGCCATGCCTTCTGTTTGCTTTTCTTCATCCCTTCTGCATCTCTTCCATTTTATGCAGGGTTAGCCTCAACCATCTCTCATCCAAGGCTTAGTCAGATGCTCAGTGCATTATCTGACCCAGTATGGCCCATAAGACAGGAAAAAAGCCCATGTGATTCCGCAGAGTTTAAGGCCAGAAGGAACCATTAGATCAGCTTGTCTGAGCTCCTGTATACCGCACATTTCTGGGTGCATGCATGTGTGGTCACAGCTTCTCGCTGTATGACTCTGGGGAGACCATGGCGCTCAGCCCTGGGCAGCCCAATAGCACAAAGATGGGCCAGGGAAAAGCAACACAAATTATGAAGGGGCTGGAGGGACGACTTGAGAGGAGAAAGGCAAAGAACTAGATTAGCCCTGATCGGCTCTGATGACAGGAGGGAGCAGGGGTAACTATTATGAGTGGCACTTATGATATGTGTGAACAGCACTGGAGAGCTGCATCAGAAAAGCAGCGTGTTCGCTGCCACAGCACAATACAATGTGGGCCTGGCCCAAGCACATGCTCTTACCAAGGTATTTTACACATGCTTGGAGTGGAGTGAAGTCACACAGGTGTGCAGTGTGTGGCTGTCCTGTGCAGCCTATAGGCACCAAGGTCCCGACTACTGCTCAGGATCAGGGAAGGGGATTAGGCGCCTGTCCGCAGGAGAGTCCCCCCTTAGTGGATCTCTCCTTGCATTCAGATTCTCAGCTGTGTCCCAGCACCCTGCTTGTACTGATGCTTGAGCTAAAAGTTAATGACTGAGGGCTTGTCTGTCTGAACACATAGTTCTTGGCATGCTGGGGTATACATCTACTGTACACTATAATCTCTCTAGTGCACTTTAATCTGCTCCCCTTTCAAAGAGGGGTTGATCAAAGTGCACTATGGAGCTTTAAGTGTGCAGCAGCAGGGTCCCCGGCACGCTAAGGTGGGTAAGATTTACACCCCAGCTTGCAGTGAATGAAGTGTTCATAGACCAGACAGACAGACACATATGAGGCTAGGCCTAATTCCCAGGTGAGGGGGGCCAGGGCACTGGCCAATTGGCTAGTGTTAAGTGGCCTGCATCCCATACTAATTAGTCATTAAGTATAATGGTTATTAATATTGGCATAGCACTGTAAAGTCACACTATGCTTTACAGTAGTGGTTCTCAACAAGGGGGCGTGTGTACCCCTGGGGCTATGCATAGCTCTTCCAGGGGGTACATCAACTCATTTAGATATTTGCCCAGTTTTACAACAGGTGACATAAAAAGCCCTAGCAAAATCAAACTAAAAATTTCATACAGACAATGATGTGTTTATGCTGCTCTATATACTATACACTGAAATGTAAGTAAAATAGTTATATTTCA